AGAGAGAGAGCTATGCAGGGAGAGGGGTATATTTATGGACCTTGCAGGGGCTGGCCAGTGCCGTGCTTGGGTTTTATTGGAGGAGACTATGAGGTAGTATTCCTATAGGGAGAGGTTGTTGAGCACAGGTTTAAGTTTCGCATGGGCGGGAAAAGCTGCTTAGGGACTTTGTTGTCACGGGAGGCAGCACCCACCATCTTGGGGACGCCCTTCTGACTGTTCCCTGCACCTTTCATTCCCACCTTTTCTGTTTATTTGGGAGAGGGGCATCGTTATTCTTTCTGGCTGCTTCCTGCTGGATGTGGACATTGTGGGGTAAGGTGGGGGAAGGGCACAGAACCAGCCAGAATAGGGTCCAGAGGTAGACACTGAAGGTGAAGATTTTTGAAGGTTTTCTGTAAATGTAGAATGGCGACTTGTTCCGGCCAGTCCTTTAGTGGGCACGAGGGCAGTAGTAACCAGCTGTCTTGGAGTAGACTGTGGAGGTAAATAGAGAACCTGGAAGAGAACATATCTAAAAGAAAAGTTAAGTGATGTTTAGGGACAGTACCAGAAGAAGAAGCCAGGTGGGGCACAGGTAACAGTGACAGGCGATGGTTGAGTTGGGGTTGTAAACAGGGGAATTCCTGATAGTGAGGGGAAATGAACAGTAGGATTTTGTGTGAAAGGGGTGGTAAGATTTTGTATGAATGGTATTGCCATAAATGCTATTGTGAATAATGCTGCAATAAACATGTATGTGTAGAACCAACGGTGTTGTTCACTGAAAGAAGACTGAATAAAAATGTGGTGTATATATATATGATGGAATATTACGCAGCCATAAAGGACAAAATTATGAACCTTACAGCAACTTGGGTAGATTCAGAGTCTGTGATATTGAGTGATTTATCAAAGAAACAAAGAACTGAGTACCACATTTTTACTCGTAAGCGAATCTTGAAAATTATCATAATATAATAAGAAAGGGATTGGCAGTAGTGGGATTTTGCCAGGGTAGGTGTGGTTGCTGGAGCTTGCTACTTATCTCACCCTAGAGACTGAATTAAGAACTTGAAGAGTTTAAGTACTAAAGTTTTTTGTTTTTTTTTAAAGCATGTTATAACACAAAATCACAGTAGTTGTTGTAAAAGTTACTTATTTAGCCAAAATGATAGTGCAATGATTTGAAAAGAAAAAAACTCGCTCTTTTGTAGCAAAGACAGTGGGGGGAGGGCTAATTGAATTTTGTCTTGACAGTGGATGGCATTTAGGACTGAACTTAAGGCTTTCATAACTATCTACTTTATTATAGGACAGAAATGTACCATATCAGATTTTCTCTTAGATAAATATATATATATATATATTTTTATATTCCTTTCTTTTTTGTTATCTTGCTAAAACTTTATTTGTATACCAACAACCTTTTTACATTTTTCCTTTGCTTTTTATTTATTTATAGATAACCTTTAACAGTCATAATTTGAATTTACCTTTTAGTAACATTTAAGTGAAACATTTAGTTTTTGGAACACCTTTAATTCCACTGGAGAGCAGGTTTTAGGAGGAAGTTCAGTATGAGCACAAGGCTAGAAACTTAGCCTCAGTATTAATTAAGAAATTGAATTGGACCCCAGCCACATTTATATAGACCCAAGGATTCTCTGGGTGGATGGCATACAGAGTGCTGCGCTGGGCCATGCCCCTCCCCCTTCAGT